TCTCAAGCTCGAAGATACCCTTAGCATGAGATCTGAACTCTCTCTACTTCACTCTTTTACACAGAACTTTTATCTGTGTCCATCACTCGCGGTTTTCTCCATTTCTGATCGTAAAAAAGAATAGTTTCTTCCCTTTACTGTGGCTAACACCACCAGAATTCTTACTTCCATTTCTTGAATTTACTCCTTTATTTATTACTCCTCTTTTCTATTTCTGGCAGAAATGATGCTAAGTGAAATAAGGCAGGAACTGGAAGACAGATACCTCATGTTCTTACTCATCTATGGAAACCTAAAGATTAACTCCCACAGAAGAAGAGAGTAGAGTGGTGTACACTGGAAGCTGGAAAGTGGAAGGGGCAGGGGAGGGTAGGAAAAACTTGGGTAACAGATTCAAAATTGCAGATAGATAAGAGGAGTGATTCCAGAATACTATATATAGTTGGTGATGATTTAATAAATATTTCAAAATGTAAGAGAAGATTTTGAATGTTCATGACAGAGAAATTATAAATATTTATGATACGTTTCTTGCTATGATTTGATCATTATACATTATATTCATATATTGAAAAATTGCACTGTATCCTATAAATATGATCCTGATATTATACATCAATTAAAATTACAATTGCAGTTAAAATGAAGAAAATGGGGGACCAGCAGATGGCATAACGGTTACATTGCTGGACTCCCATGTAGTTTACTGCAGTTCTAATGCCAGACCTGGCGGCTTAAAACTCATGCTGGGCACACGTGTATGCATGCCCTGAATCCCAAGCAGAGGACGGAGGAGAAAGGATTATGGCATGGTCATCCCCCTTGGAGAGTGATTTCTCGCTCTCTGTCTCTGTCTGTCTGTCTGGTGAATGCATGCATCCTATAGCAGAAAATCTCTCTTAAAAATAAATGAAGAAAATGAGTAAAAACAAAATACCCTTGTTAAAGATTTATATGTGGGGCCAGATGGTGGCACTTTCATAAAATGCAGTGCTCTGTGAGGCTAACTCACATGAGAGGGTTCTGGGTTCTTTTCTGGAGATCTCTCTTGACTGTGCTGGTTATGTGCATGTCTTTGCTGATGCTAGGGTTGGACTATGGCATGGAGACCTGATTGGGGTTCTCTCTCTGTCTCTATCTGTCTCTCTTTCTCTATTTTTATGTAAGAAGCAAATAAATGTTGAAGAAAAATTTATCTTCACTTCAAACTATGCCAGGCATCTTAGAAGAGTAAGCTTCAGTTAATTCCACCTCTTCCCCCCTATCCCCCCAGATCCCTCAATTACAGGCAGTGTTTCTTGTCTTTCTGGGATTTCTTTCTAAGGTCGCTAATGACTAGTACGTTCTTCTCAGTCCTTCTTCTGCCCTGGAAAAGTAGGACAGGCCCTTCTCTTCCTTGGCTCTTCTTCTTTCACTTGATTGATGGAGATCCATCTTTTATGGAATATTTCTCTTCACATAAATACATCTTCTAAGAGATTATCAAACTGTTCTATTGACTTAGTACAACAAGAAAGAACACAGGGATCAGCAGTTGGCACAATGGCTATGTCACTGAACTCCCATGTAGTCAACCACGGTTTGAGTCCCCGACCTGGTGGCTTAAACTCACACCGGGTGTGTGTGCATGCATGCCCAAGATCCCAAGAGGAGAATGGAGGAGAAGGGATTGCGGCGTGGCTATACCCCCTGGGGAGGGTGATTTCTCGCTTTCTCTCTGTCTCTCTCTGTCTTTCTGGCGAGTGCATGTGCCCTATAGCAAAAAAAGGCAATGTTTTTCTCTCACACTCTTAAATTCAGATATTCCTTCGTTTGTGTTCTCTCCCTCTCATTTTTCCTTCTCTCCTTCCATTCTTCACTCTCTCAAGCTCGAAGATACCCTTAGCATGAGATCTGAACTCTCTCTACTTCACTCTTTTACACAGAACTTTTATCTGTGTCCATCACTCGCGGTTTTCTCCATTTCTGATCGTAAAAAAGAATAGTTTCTTCCCTTTACTGTGGCTAACACCACCAGAATTCTTACTTCCATTTCTTGAATTTACTCCTTTATTTATTACTCCTCTTTTCTATTTCTGGCAGAAATGATGCTAAGTGAATTAAGGCAGGAACTGGAAGACAGATACCTCATGTTCTTACTCATCTATGGAAACCTAAAGATTAACTCCCACAGAAGAAGAGAGTAGAGTGGTGTACACTGGAAGCTGGAAAGTGGAAGGGGCCGGGGAGGGTAGGAAAAACTTGGGTAACAGATTCAAAATTGCAGATAGATAAGAGGAGTGATTCCAGAATACTATATATAGTTGGTGATGATTTAATAAATATTTCAAAATGTAAGAGAAGATTTTGAATGTTCATGACAGAGAAATTATAAATATTTATGATACGTTTCTTGCTATGATTTGATCATTATACATTATATTCATATATTGAAAAATTGTACTGTATCCTATAAATATGATCCTGATATTATACATCAATTAAAATTACAATTGCAGTTAAAATGAAGAAAATGGGGGACCAGCAGATGGCATAACGGTTACATTGCTGGACTCCCATGTAGTTTACTGCAGTTCTAATGCCAGACCTGGCGGCTTAAAACTCATGCTGGGCACACGTGTATGCATGCCCTGAATCCCAAGCAGAGGACGGAGGAGAAAGGATTATGGCATGGTCATCCCCCTTGGAGAGTGATTTCTCGCTCTCTGTCTCTGTCTGTCTGTCTGGTGAATGCATGCATCCTATAGCAGAAAATCTCTCTTAAAAATAAATGAAGAAAATGAGTAAAAACAAAATACCCTTGTTAAAGATTTATATGTGGGGCCAGATGGTGGCACTTTCATAAAATGCAGTGCTCTGTGAGGCTAACTCACATGAGAGGGTTCTGGGTTCTTTTCTGGAGATCTCTCTTGACTGTGCTGGTTATGTGCATGTCTTTGCTGATGCTAGGGTTGGACTATGGCATGGAGACCTGATTGGGGTTCTCTCTCTGTCTCTATCTGTCTCTCTTTCTCTATTTTTATGTAAGAAGCAAATAAATGTTGAAGAAAAATTTATCTTCACTTCAAACTATGCCAGGCATCTTAGAAGAGTAAGCTTCAGTTAATTCCACCTCTTCCCCCCTATCCCCCCAGATCCCTCAATTACAGGCAGTGTTTCTTGTCTTTCTGGGATTTCTTTCTAAGGTCGCTAATGACTAGTACGTTCTTCTCAGTCCTTCTTCTGCCCTGGAAAAGTAGGACAGGCCCTTCTCTTCCTTGGCTCTTCTTCTTTCACTTGATTGATGGAGATCCATCTTTTATGGAATATTTCTCTTCACATAAATACATCTTCTAAGAGATTATCAAACTGTTCTATTGACTTAGTACAACAAGAAAGAACACAGGGATCAGCAGTTGGCACAATGGCTATGTCACTGAACTCCCATGTAGTCAACCACGGTTTGAGTCCCCGACCTGGTGGCTTAAACTCACACTGGGTGTGTGTGCATGCATGCCCAAGATCCCAAGAGGAGAATGGAGGAGAAGGGATTGCGGCGTGGCTATACCCCCTGGGGAGGGTGATTTCTCGCTTTCTCTCTGTCTCTCTCTGTCTTTCTGGCGAGTGCATGTGCCCTATAGCAAAAAAAAAAAAAAAAAAAAAAAGAAAAAAGAAAGAAAGAACACACAGATGACTCTGAAATTCCACCTCCTTAGAGAAAAAAACAGTGTAGCATTTGTATTAGGTATAGGTTGGGACTCTGAAGTTTTAGGATGGGATAACAGAAATGAAGCTAACCCTTGGATTGATTTTATTATTATTATTATTATTATTATTTTAATTGTCAAAGGATATGTGTACTCAACAGAAAGAGATGGTGAGAGGGAGAAAGCACCCACCCCCCTCCTCTAAATTGAGTTTGGTCACACTACAATCCCTTCTTCTCTCTTCTCTGTCCTGTTAGACCTTCACACATGTGTACTTGCCATGTTTTTCAAGCCACCACAGAGGGGTTGGGATTCAAAACATGGTTTGCCATGTAAAACTGGCTCTCTTAACCTCTAGGCTATGGGGTTGGCCTGGCTGAATTCTTAGTTATAATTTTTGTAAATAATGCATGGTTCTGATGGAAAAGAAAGGACTATTTGTTACTGTATAGCTGGATGTGGATGATTATTCCAGGACTCAGTCCTGCACAGTCCATCAAGGCGTTATTCAAAGCACGTCTTCAGTGAATTTTTAACTTCTTACATTTGCCCTGTTTTATCTTCACTATTGCAGTAACAGAACAGGTTTCACTGTCTTTGAATCTTCACACAGTAATTTATCTCATACTCTGGAATCAAAGCCATCTTTACAAATTTGAATGTGTTTTACTGAAAACCCTTCATGATTTCTAGGTATAAAATAAAGCCCTATGTATTAAATCCAGTATCCAGCCACTTACAATATGACCTAAACCCCAAGTTACAATTCTCACTTGCCTGCCTAGTCTCCCTCTCCCCTATCTGTGTTTAGTCCGCAATGCAGAGCCTTCCCACGTTTCTCCTGTAGTAGCTAACCCTCTCCGAAATCCCACAGGGCCCTGCACCACTAGTGGCACTTAACGTATGTTATGCTTATTCTTCTAAAGGCATTTCTTGGGAACAGAAACTGTTTCTTATTCAACTTCATACCTCCTTGCTCTCCATGATTCTGAATAGGGCTCAGTGTCAGCTAGATTTTAAATAATTCAGTTTAAACCAGGCTTAAATATTTAATAATATATTTTCCAGAAATTTTAGGAGATTGACACAAGAATATATGAAGGGAATGTATTATGTCTCCTATTTTAGAAGTCTTTGAGCACTGCTTGAGACTTTTATTTTAGGTTTTTAAATTATACATAGCATAAGTAATGTCAATTTTATAGGACTCCGTATAACTCTCTTATGGTCTTTCAGGTATAATCATCTAATTGGCTTCTATAAGCTACCCATCAATACTTTTAATTTCATTACTTCCATTACATTTGTTTCTAGAGAAGATGAATGCTCTGTCTCATCCAATACTGAAGGTTTGAAGAAAGAAGACATTCGCTAAGTCATATTACTTCAGGTAAGTCTGCTAAATAAGCCTGCTCACATCTATCTTAGCACCAGCTCAAGATTGATTTAAAATGCAGAGAATTAAGTCCACTACCTTTAACATTTTCTTGACTCTCAAATTTCTCAGAATGTCTTATATTATATGACATTATATATTGAATCACATGTCTTGGAAAATGGGGGAAAGATGATTTCTTATTGCAATTAATATGCTTATAAAAATATAATGTTTAAATTCATGCTATTATTTTTTAAATGAGATTAATACCTCAAATCGTCCTTTTATTTAGAGAAAGTCTAGTTTAAAGTTTGTACTATGTGCCATACTTAATGCTTTTAAAATGATTTTTCCATTGTAACTAGTATTTTGTAGTTTTTTTCTGTCTTATTATAGTTTTTTCAAAATGATTTATATGTTTTTATTCAGGGAGAAATTTATTAGTTAACTAATAAACTTTAAATGTTTATTAACTACTTATTCAAAAACTTAGCTTCTTAACCAACCTCAGCTCTTGTAATAATCTCCTAATGGTCTTTGTGTATTCATTCTTTCTTCCTCCATCTGTATTCTACTACCAGGTAAATCTGCAGGAAGATCCACTGTAGTAATTTAAATACCCCTTCATGGCTCTTCACCCATGGATGGAATCCATGTTCTTTGGCCTGGCATTCAAAGCCACTACCAAGCTCTGTGATGGCCTTCCTCTCTCCATACTGTTCCCTCTGCCCATTGAAATCCTTCGCAAGCCTTTCCACTTAGCTTTTTCTGATCACTCTAGCTAGAAGTTCTAGCTCTTTCTCTCTTTTTACTTATTTTTTTTTGGGGGGGGTGGAGAGGTTTGTTTTGCTACAGGGCACGTGTGCTCGCCAGAAAGACAGAGAGACAGAGAGATAGAAAGCGAGACATCACCCCCCAGGGGGGATGGCCACACAACAATCCCTTTTCCATTCTCTCGGAATCTTGGGCATGCACGCTCACACGCTCAGCGTGAGTTTAAGCCACCAGGTCCAGAACTTGAGCTGTGGTCGACTACATGGGAGTTCAGCAACATAGCCATTACACTAACTGCTGGTCCCGCTCTTTCTCTCTCTTTGCTGACTTCATCTAATGTTGTGTTTTTTTATCACTTACAGCACACTTTACCATGCAGCTTTATTGTTTGTGTTTATGTCTGTCTGTCTCATTCTAGGCTGTAAGGACCATAAAAATCAAAGAGCCTGTCTGAGTAATTTTTGTATCCCACAGCATTCAGGACAGCCTTCAGTAGTGCTCAGTAAATATTTGTTTAATAAAATAAGAATGTGCTTGTTTTTTTCTCTTGTCATCCCCCTTTTCATCCTTATAGACACATATGGGCTGTATTCAGGGCAGCTGTTTATTCCTGTCATGCACTCTTGGCTGCCATCTTAAACTTGGAAAATACTGACTGCAGTGTAATTAATAAGATACGGTCGGTTCCCTACCTATAAAATAAACTGTGTTCCAAAAGTTCATGTTTAATTCTGTTGTTTGGAATGCAGAAAGCATTTTTCCACCAAAACAATGTTATAAATAGTGGCTGTGTTCTCAGCCAGGCCTCCCAAGACTGTTTAACTAGTAAGTACCAGTGCTGCTTTAACTCCAGGCAACTACCAAGTGTGATGTTGTTTTGTGGAGAAATTCTGCTTCTGGATATGCAAATACATCCCCTATGCTCTTGAAACAGGGCAGACCTGTGACTCTGCCAGTGACAGAGCACACTGGATGCTTTCCCACCAGGAGCTTTTCAGTTTTCAGTATCTGCCCAAAAGACATTACCTGTAGATTACTGATACTCTCGTGTCATCCAAATGAGGTCAGGGGCCACTTGCCTTTCTGACCCTGCCCACAGGGGACCAGGGTTGTAAACCAGGGCTTCAGCTGCCCTTTTGCATGGGTGGGTCTTTAGAAAGTCAAGTATTGGTGGATCCGGAGTTCTTTTACTACTTCCCTGTTTCTGCTGTTCTAAAACTTCAAGGAACTGAATATATAAACATGAAAATACTTCTACCTATAGGAGAAAACACACATATAGGTATTATACCTATATTTGACATTATATCCGTTTTTATAGACAAGTGATTATCATTTCTGCATGGGCGTAATGATACTTTGGGTAAAAAAACATGTCAGTATGTGCATAAACAACCTTGGAGGATGACAGTTTAGGTTGTCAGGCTGCAAGAGAAAAACGCTTTATAAATTTCAGAGAATTTAATTTATTCAGTCATCACAAGAATTAAGTGCTTAAGTGTCTGCTTTATGTGCAATACTGTTGTTGATGCTAGGGGCTGTGGAAACTAGATGCTATGAAAAGTTTGCCTTTCCTCTGGAATGTCAAATACAGGGAGTGAAATATCAATGAAACAATCATAGTAAAAACTGTGTATTATTAATTGTTATAATAAACACTGTGAAGGGACCAGCAGTTAGTGTAATGACTATGTTGCTGGATTCCCACGTAGTCGACCGCGGTTCGCACCCCGGACCCGGTGGCTTAAAACTCACGCCAGGTGCGTGTGTGTGCGTGCCCAAGATCCCGAGAGGAGAATGGAGGAGAAGGGATTGCGGTGTGACCATCCCCCCTGGGGGGTGATTTCTCGCTTTCTGTCTCTCTGTCTCTCTCTGTCTGTCTGGCGAGCACACACGCCCTATAGCGAAAACCTCTCCCCCCCCCCAAGAAGTCTCTTCCTCAGTCTCCCCAGGCCCTGTATATGGAAGAGGAATGGGTCTTGGGACTCAGTGGCCTCAGATGTGAGATTCA